CCCCCCCCCCCTGATCCGTCTCTGCTTGGTTTCTATGGTGATGTTTGCTTGGTTGGCCACGCTGCCGTGATGATTTGCTGGCTTCTCTAGCAATAAGGTGACAACCACAAGCTTGTTGCGTCGGCCACTTTGCACGGTTTGAAAATATTCGGCACTCCCTTTCACTCTTCCGAGTAGCCTAGTCTGCTCAAGGCCAGGCCTGTTGGGTTCCTCGGTGTGGGACCCCCGAAAGCCGGCTCCAAATTTCCGTTCCTGACGCCCCTTGCATCTTGATGCTCTTGCCAAGGGATGGATATCCTCGGCGACACCAATAGGAAACGCCCATCAGCCATCAATAGAGAGAAGCCCATCAGCCATCAAAAGAGAGGAAAGGGTAGAATGGCCGACGTTGACTGGACATGACGCCACGCTGATCTGTTGCCTCGCTGCATGACACGTCCTGCCCGTTACCCCCTTCCTATAGGCGAACCTTCCAGGCTTAGGCCAGACCATCGACCCCATGCGCCCATCATCATCACCACCAATGCCACTAGTACCGTCAACTGCGCAATCACCAGAGGCGAGGTCTGTAGGGACAGGGACGGCGACAGGGGCAGGGGCTGGACTACCACAGGCAGCGGCAGAGGCGAAGGCAGCGAGGGCCGAGGCGGAGGTCGATCTCGAACGTGCTCGAGTGGAGTGGGAGAGATGGAGAGTCGTAGAGGAAGACAAGTTCGCCAAGCGCCTGCGGGAAAAGGTGCGGTAATACGATAGACACGGCAGAGGTGGTATGCAAAACGTAGCTACGCGTGTGTTGTGGGACCTTGTCAGGTGGCTGGCAAGATGTGGACCTTCGAATATCCAGACCGCGATGAATCTGACCGCGCTTGTGTGGTGTGTGTTGGAAGATGTGTTTTGACGTACCTGGCATGTGTGCGTGTGGCTGGTTGTTCTTTGGAATCGAAACGGTTGTCATGAGGGAAAATGGAACACGAAAGGGTATGGGTAAATATTGTGGCATCTTCGCTTATCGGTCTCAGCCGTTTCGGAAGCTCAAGCGATTGTTGTTTGCCGCAACCGTTTTTTGCAAGGTGCGCGATGTATTCTAAAGGCGTTGCATGGGCGTAGAAGAATCAGCTTCGCTCTGGGGGTTAAGTTTTGATTGATGCTGCGTGGTGGGTCAATGGGGGCGCGAAAAGATGGGCCATTAACGTATTTCGAATCGTCGGCCTCTGTTTTTTTGCTGTAAACCTTCACTTCCTGTCTGGCCACCGTCTGTGCGCGCGATACACTGTTGCGTCTGTCTGTCCAGGACGAAGCTCTCGAGCAGAAGTGGGAGGCGAGGGAGGCGACCAGACGACGAGAGCTGAGCCGCGCACAAGCCGATTACTCGAAGGTGCCCTTTGTGGCCGGTGTTGCTGGTGTTGACCTCAAAACATTTAGACCGTTGCAACGTGCACGGTGACGATGCAACCGATGCGGCAGCAGTTCGGAAGAACGTACGGCTGCACGTTAGGCGTTGACAAGATTGCTATTGTCGGCTGCATGTATTGCGAAGTCTCGATTGTGACTGTCGGCACGTGTTGACGATGGATGACATCATACATGAGATTGAGTGAACATATGGCACGATATTGTTGCAACCGCGCAAGGCGTTGCCAGAGGCTTTGAAGCAGCGAACCGGGGCGAAGCCTTTCGTTGATGCTTGTTGCGAGCCATATCTCGTCTTGTAGCTGGCGGCCCGAAGACTTAGGCTCACTGTCCGACGGATGGTACATGGAAGATAGGCTAAACAGCATTTATGAACATCAGAGGGTACACCTCTACTATANCCCCCCGCAACCTGCTTGCCGCCTCAGCTGGAGGGCAAGCTTCGGAAGGCGCTGTCCGAAGTAGAGGCGAGGGAACGGCAGCTAAAGGCTCGAGAGGAGTCTTGGAAGACCGACCACGCTCAAAAACTGTCGGAGTTGCAGCTGCTGCAGAGACGACTGAGGGAGGAGACGAAACAGCAGGTACCCCCGCGTGCCTCTCACGGATTGGCGATATCACGGTGTGCGTTAGTGCTATGGTGGTGATGCGTTTGAGGGGTGGAGCGAGCGTGTGGATGAGGACATGTTGGGTCAGGGAGGATACTGCTGTAGCAGGCTTCGTGTACGATACGAGTGAGAGCTGGATGGTGGTCAGAGCGAATCTATATTGCGAAGGGAGCAGCGGCCAAAGTCGGGTACACCCGGTCCAACCACGGCCATAATCGGGTAACCCTTCAAGACGCTGCTGGGAGCGACCGCCTGACATCATCTGATTCGCCGACGCCCGCCCCTACCCGACCTTGACCGTCTTTCCACCGGGTGCACCCGATCTTGGCTACTCGCCCCCTGGAGGGGTACCCGGTTTGTCGATCCCCTGCCCGAAAATATATGGGCTATTCGACCAAACCCCATGCACACAAGCTCGCGTCAGCAATGCCCTGCCACCTGCCCTCAAATTCGGACGTTCCAACGGCGGGCGGAGGCGGACCAATCGCCGGGGGTAGAACTCTCGCTTGGGGGAGACAGCAGGCGCTCGGTGCAAATGATAAAGAAGAGTTGGATGAACACCTCGCTCACGATATGCGACACGCACGAGACGCATTTAAAATATAGACAAGTTCTCGGCTTCGGCCGCTTTTTCATTGGCGAAATTCGAGCGGCCAGCGTTTGCGTCCGACCCGTGAATCTGTGCATGGGTTTGGTCGAAAGGCAAACCGGGTACCCCTCTCGGGAGCGAGTAGCCAAGATCGGGTGCACACGGTGGAAAGACGGTCAAGGTCGGGTATGGGCGGGCGTCGGCGAATCAGATGGTGTCAGGCGGTCGCTCCCAGCAGCGTCTTTGTAGGGGTACCCGATTGTGGCCGTGGTTGGACCGCGTGTACCCGATTTTGGCACTGCTCTTGCAAAGGGCAAGCCCATGACCCCCACGACCACCATCATGACCACTTCCACTACCAACCACCACATCCAAGCCATTGCCTTCTTACATCCTTCACGTGTCACTTCTACGACGAGGACAATGGGTTGACGACTGCGGTAACGTCCATCATCCCTTTGTCTTCGACAGGGTAACACGAAGATCATGAGACGATTTCTATGCATACTAGGACGGACACATGTAGCATACCCTACCTTCAATTTTCTTCGAGACGGTAGCACCCTCGTCCCTGTTTCACTTCTTGAGACCTTAATCACCTGTGCGGCGGCAGTCACAGCCGGAAGAGGAGATCAAGTGTCGGCGTCCCCACTACCTGGGCGGCGCTGTGATACTCGTAGAGACTCGTCACACCAAGCCTTTTATGTCTCGGTCTTTTTTGTCCTGAACCGTGCTGCTGTGCCAGGTGGACCTAGAGCGAATGAAGGTGAAAGCCTTGGAAAAGCAAGTTGCCAGCCAATCCAAGTCTTTGGAAGATGCCCGTGCTAGGGTAGCTGCCACAGACGAGGATCTGGAACGTTTCAGACAGCAGCAGAGAAGAACGCCGGAGGGAGGCCTGAGGCAGGAGGTGTATCGGTTGGGGGCAGCCAAGGCCGAAGCGGAGGCACAGGTTGGCTGCTGTTGCTGTCATGCCATTGCTGCTGTTGTCATTTGTTGTGGTTGTTAGGGAGTCTTGTGTATTCTGGACGTGTTAGGCCGAAAGGGACGACTGCTGATTGTTGTTGCCAGCCCCACAGCGTCGTTAAGGGTTTTTGCTGGAAGGCCTTGCGTTTTTTGACTTTACATGTATTCTGGTGGTTATCATGACGCCCGTCGTCCTCTTTGTTTTGTGGGCTATGTGATACGAACTACTTCGTACTTCTTGCCGGCATGCGTAATGTTGGGGAGATCGATTCTCATCGAGGTGACTGTTTTCCCGCATTTCGAACCTAGTTCCGCAGCAAGCGCTCTGTAGAATTTGCACATGCAATGGCTGTTTCTTACCTGGCCGTGGTGTACATTTTTTTTTTTTTCTCCCACCATTGGACTCTGTTGCCTGCCGCTCTGGCCCCTATCCTCCACTTCTACCAGCTAGACGACCCAACCGGGGTCACGTAGGAGGGGGGGGTTGGACCCCCTCCTGCGGTTCCTGCCTGAGATATTTTTATCGCGAGAAGGGTACAGCAATCCCTTCCCTCGCGACTCATGAAGTCGATCAAGTTTACCAACAACGAGCTTTGCAGCGCGTCGCTTCCAACGGAGACCAGGATTTAATTAGCGAGAAAAAATCACTCTTTCGGGACTCGAACCCATGACCTGGCCCTTAGCAAGCTGCGAGGCTACCCACTAGACCACCGGGGCGATGTACCCGGCTGATGTACATGCCGGAATCACCGTGTTGGTGCTTGGTGTTTCGTGTTTGGTCATCAGATTGAGCGAGAGCGGAGCTTGAAGAACAAGGCCTTGCTAGAGAAGGAGGAGTACCGAGCCAACATCCACAAGCTGGCAAGGGCTCTCAGGCGTCATCAGGTACCAAGTGCCAGTACGCCTGTGGTGTCTTTGGCATCTGCTGTTCTACTGCAATGCATGTCATCATCATCGTCGTCTTGTCTCGGTCTGGTGTTTCTGCCTTTCTTGCCTGATGCTGCCTTGTGAGCATGGCTTCTCGACACCCGCCGCCTTCCCTTTCGTACTGTACAACCCCAACCCAGAACCCTACTCCTAGCCGTTCCCTTTTCCCACCACGGGTAAAAGCTTCACAGGCCCAGTTTGTTAAGTGTTTTTTTTTTTCGTTTGGTTATCGGCATCATTTTTTTTTTTATTCCAGGAGCGTGAGACGACCTGCGCGCGTCGTGAGATGGAGCAGCTCCGGCTGGAGTACCTGGCAAGGGAGGAACGGTTCATGCTGGACGGCGATAGGAACGAGCTACGCACCATAAAGCAGGAGCTAGATGAACTCAGGTACCGGAGTCTGCTGCATTGATGTGTTAAAGGCTGGTGGCCGGGTGCTCGATATGGATCGGACCTTTTGCTGTTGGCCAGGTGTCGGGTTGTGAGTGCAAGCGGCAGTCTTTTGTGTTTCCGGCAGCTGTAGCCTTTGGAGAATCCGGTTGATTCGGACGGGCCTTGGTAAATCGTCTAGAGAAGAAGGTGGAGGTGGAATGTGCGTGTTTCCAGGGACAACGGCGTTGGCGTATGCAAACATTCCGCTAGATGTCAGGGCCGCAACCCATCTTTGTTGTTGGCGGTCCTGACATGAGGGCCATGACGCTACCGGTAAGTGGTGGTGTACTACATGCTAAAATACGGACAGTTGCTACGCGTTAGGCAGGAGTTGGGAATGGTGGTAGGAAGGCGAGTCATTGATAGCTTCCAGATCGACACGTTGGGTGCCCTACAGCAGTGCGTCGACACTCAATTCCGATGTTTGGGACCTCATGAAGTTGTTTGATAACATGACCTCGACATAGTCTCGCGAACCACACTTTTCAAGAGAGCGACAGCACCAACCGTTCAATATGTGTAAGACATCTGTGGCAATGGTGCTGTTGATGCCTGATCCTGATGCCACCCCCGCCCCATTTTGTTTGCTCTTCTTCGCTCCAACAGACACGTGAGCTTGGTACAAGAAGCTCAGGCCGGCCTAGCGAAGATCAACCCTAGCACCATCGCAGCTGCTACCCCGACGATCACGCAACCCCCTCTTGTGGACATCAGGGGGCCACGCAGAGGAGAATCGCCCCCCTCCACCAACCCGGCGTTCCCCGACCCGGGGCCTTCGCCCAGCCTTCCCCCTAGACCCACTCCTGCCCCTGCTCATGTTTCCGTTCAGCAGCGGCGGGAATCAGGGCTGGCCTTTCACGGGGGCTCCGTGGATGCTGATGTTGATTGTGGAGGGGGGGCTTCGGCGTCCGGCCCGCTTGGAGGCGACGTTGACGGATCTACGGAGATGAGGCGACTGATAGAGTGGCGGGACGAGCTGCTTGCCACCGGGATGTACACGCCGCAGAACCCCATCGTGAGCGAGCTAAACCGCCGCATCTCCTTGGCGGGGGGGAGCGTCGGCGGGCGGGGCTCGGGCCTGCTGCAGAGAGAGGAGTGAAGTCCGATGCACAACCGTATGTACCCGAACGCAGGTCGTGGGGGTGATCACTGCAGTGCGTTGAGCATTTTGGCCTGTAGAGGCAGAAGCTGCAGAAGGCATTCGGACGCGTGGACTGGGTGACAAGGCTCATCAGCCCAGCCAATGCCTACAGTATGTACCTTTCTCAGGTCGTGCTTTCTCTGCTCTCGGTGTGGCGTTAGGGGCAGGAAAGCTCGGCTTCCTCGTGTACAACTGTAGCTTGAATTATGCCGTGTGAATATGTAACTTGTTCTCTTGCATGTACAGTACAGTTGTAGGCACCCACTCCAACACTGTGTTGGTTACAGCATGCGATGACCATGCACCAGATGACAATTTTGGTGTTTCGTGTAAATTTTCTAGCTGCATTGGTCCTGCTCTGGCCGTCCGCGAACCCTTGCTGCCAACGGAATGTACTCGTCGTACACTTGGTTCGGCCAATCGGTCCCTTCCACTTCCGTTTCCCCCCTGGGTTGGTCTATTGTGCAGCAGCAGCGAGCGTTGGTGTACAGACACGTACCTGCGTTGGCATTACCACTCCCTAGCGGTCGTTGGTATGCAGACAATTTGCCAGCTACGTTGGCGTTACTACGCTAGTTTCCCCCTGTCGTGCTTAACCTCTGGGTGCTGAGTTGTCGTTGACCGAAGGAATGGTAATTCTTTCCGATACCTGCAAGGAAGAGAGATGGGGCGGGTTGAAGGTGGAGAAGGAAAACAGGAGGACCATGATGGTGTGGGTGGCTGTAACGTCGATCACCGAGGATGCGTACCGCTCCGAGACGTTGCTTGGTGAGATTGGTTTTCACCTCAGGAGGGAAAGACACTGGACTTTGTCGTTTTTTCCACACACACACAACCAAACACCAAGTCACCCAATATGTGATCAATCGCCGGGGGTTGGTTGTTTCGTATCCAAGGCTAAGTGTGAAACAATTTTCCAATGAAATTATGGTGTCCCTGGCGCTCTGTCCTTGAACCTCCAACATTGTCGCCAACGCGAGGCTTCAGCAGTCAGGCAGTTCGTTCCCTCTCTCCGTGAGCATTCACCACCATCCTTGTGCTATGCTACAATAAGTTGTATTCACTCTTGAAATCGTGAGTTTTTTGCTTCCCAAAGAGAGAGATCCGAACTTTTTTTTGTAGAAGCGAATATCAGACCATCCGACTAATCGTTTGACCTGTCAACGAAGCCGAAACCAAACAACTAGCCGAGGCCTGACCCGCCCGGATACAGTCCTGCAGGATGTGGGAGACGAGTCAGAGCACTATGCGAAATGGACATTTGGATGGATAGCAGAGCACACGAGGGGAGTGATCCTCCTCAGAGTAGTCAAATGGTTTGATTTGCGCTACCAACAAGAAGATAGGACTCACGACCTAGAGTCTCGGGGCAGTTGGCAACTGGCGAACCACGCGCACCCAGAGGGCGCTCTTTGACCGGTTTGACGGCGTGGATCAGAGGAAATTGAGGCAGCTGTGCTGCCCCGATACCGAAACCAAGACAACAGCAAGATCGGCGAGAAGTAGCAGCACCTGATCGGGACATTGCGCAGCGATTCGAGGTTGGATATGCTACTTTAGCTTGTGACCGTATGCCAGAATTGCGGTCGATCCAAGTACGTACGCCAGCAGACAGCAACTGCCTGACGTCATCATGTGCTCCCGCTGAAGCACCACGGGCGATGCTGGAATTTTCCGATGGAATTTTTCTTTTCGGCACCAGTCCGCGCGGCAGGGCATTTTTTTTCCTTCTTTTTTTTCCCTGAGGTCTTGTTGTCTGTGGTCAGATTCCATGTTGCCGATGTTGCCTGGTTAATAGAGCCGTTTTAAACGTTTCCAAAGATTCCAAATTTTTTTTCCAAAGCTCCAAATATTTGGAACCTGTACGTAGGCGTTCTTCCGAAAAATTCAAAAATTTGTGTCATACTTCCTCTGTATCATAAGTTAGGGTACCTAAATTTGTACGGGCCCTTAACCGTGTCCGATCTGTTTTTCGATTTTTTTGTTGAAATCTTCGTAGTTTTTTGAGCAAGAAACATTTATTTTTATTTTTATGCATGCGCCACCCCGCGTGCATGAGCGCCCGAGAAAAAACTAGTCGGCCTGAAAAAGGCCGTATTTTGAATGTATTTTGCCCCCTCCGACCAGGCGACCAGGCGGGGGGGGCGGGGCAATGACAAAAACAAGGCAAAAATACCAAGAATTATCCCTGACCCTAAACCTAGCCTCTCCTCTACTCAACGATCCATGACGCGTCCCCTATACTAAAAGCAGCATAATAGTGGCCCCCACACTGAAAACAAGACACTTGGGGGGACCACACTAAAACCAAGACACTTGCGGGGCAAAGCAAGCAACTGTAGGGCCCTCATCCAACCCCCCCCTCTACTCAACGATCCATGTCGCGCCTCCTACAATAAAAGCAGAATAGTAGTGAGCCACACTAAAACCAAGACACTTGGGGGTCACACACTAAAATCAAGACACTTGGACGGGTACTTCTTTCCGACACCGTAGCGTTCGCAGATCGGGTCAAGCACGCCCTTGGGAATCGTTGACAACCCCGGCTGAATGCCCATCGCAATTTCTACCGCCATGGCATAGCGCCTACCAACCGATAACTCGGTGCCCCTTTTGCGAGGTGGTGTGCTGGGGGGCGATTCCATCGCTAG